GCTTGTTCTGGAACTACCTCTGTAGACCAGGCTGACCTCAGACTCACAGAGATTTACCTGCCTCTGCCTCCTGAGTGCTGGGATTAAAGGCATGAGCCACCAATGCCTGGCTAGTATTAGTAATTTTGACAAGGGATCCTTTCTTATTTTTTGGAGATAGTCTTGCTGTGTAGCCCAGAATTCTGCTCCTTCCTAAGCCCCAGTCATAAGGGATCCTTTTAAACATTGTCCATTTAGGGCCTCCTTTGTTAGTATGGTACCTGTTTGACTACTAAATCATGTGAAGGAGACATTCATTTGTCTCTGTTCAGAAGTATTCTCAGACCTAATATTTTAAAAAAGAAAGGATACTTTTCTCTTTCCTAGTATTTAAAATCCCATGCATTGAGCTGGAGAGATGGTTAAGAGTTCTTGCTGCTCTTAAAGAGGACCCAGGTTTGGTTTCCAGGACCTACATGATGGCTAATAAGCATGTTTTAACCCCACCTCCAAATCTCACGACATCTTCGGGGCTCTGCAACCTTGGCCTCTTAGCTCATCTGATTTTGATCTTGTTTTTCTATTGCCAGGTCACCCCTCTAAATTTCTCAGTGTCACAAGTGCCCAACATGCCCAGCTGCCCCCAGGCCTATTTGGAACTGCAGGCACTGTCTCCGAGTGAGCGTCAATGTGTGGAGACAGTAGTCAACATGGGCTACTCATATGATTGTGTCCTGAGAGCCATGAAGAAGAAAGGAGAGAATATTGAGCAGGTGAGGTGCTGGTCTGCAAGGTGTGGGTGGAGGAGCATGGTAGCCTCAAGTCAGGGTAGTGTTCTGCCTGCAACTCCAGCTTCCTCCCTCTGTGTTTGTGGGGACCTGGCCTGGGGTATTATCAAGGAAGCTGGAAGTTCAGCAGTAGTACTAATTTACGCTTGGAGAAAGCCTGGGGTGTGTATTGGAGCTGTTGTTGTCATCCACCCCTTTGTATCTCTAGAGAGGACAGAACTGAGCATATGGTTAATGTCTCAGTCTAGATTTTTTTTTTCTCCTTTTGAGATAAGGTCTTATGTAGCCCACACTGCTTGGAATTGAGGTAGCTGAGGCTGGCATTGGACTCATGATCCATCTCCACCTTCTGAGTTCTAGCATATAGGTGTGGTCCACTACTTCTAGCTTACCTCCAGAAACTTTTGTCATGATTGCATAGGAAGTTCTGAAATAATATTTCCTGACATGTGCTGTATATTTTGAGAAGACTTTCATCTTGCCCTGAGTGTTGAGTTGACATTCTGGGAGTTGAGTCAGCTGTGACAGCACCTCCTATGGGAAGTGGCTGCTCATTTGTCAGTCTGTTTACCAAATATTGACTGTCCAGGATCTGATGATTGGGGTGGGACAGGGAGCTGACTTCACATGGATGGTCTAAAACTCAGCACAGAGACATGGCAGTAGGGGATATCAAACCTTGTTTCTTTCCTTAGATTCTCGACTATCTCTTTGCACACGGACAGCTTTGTGAGAAGGGCTTTGATCCTCTTTTAGTGGAAGAGGCTCTGGAAATGCACCAGTGTTCAGAAGAAAAGGTAGGACCCTTTGCACATTCATGGAACAGTTGTCTGTCCTGGTGATCTTGCTGGGCCCTGCTTCCTTTCCTTACTGGTGACTGCAGGCATCAGCAGTCAAAAACAGAATCCCCTGTGTCCAGATGAGTCCTTCCTTAGTATATATGAAGTGTAGAGCTGAATCCCAATGATAGGAAGGGAAATTGAGTTGGGCTAAAAGCCAGGCTTTTGGATAGCTTGGGCCACTGCTAGAATTTTTGCCTTCCCTTCTACCTAGAGAGTAGCCCCTAGGGGTTCAATACCTTGTCTTGGTGGGAATATTCATGTGGGCAGTGGGACTCTTACAGAGGTCTGCGAGTGAGTTGAGGCTGGGCTTCCTCTGCTTGCTAGGGAACTTTAGAAAGACCCACAAGACTCTGATGGAAGGGTACAGATCCTCCACCTGCAGTATACCTCTACATTCAGCTGAACCCTTTTTAAAATGCTTCTCCTTTATCCCATAGATGATGGAGTTTCTTCAGTTGATGAGCAAATTTAAGGAAATGGGCTTTGAACTGAAAGACATTAAGGAAGTTTTGCTATTACACAACAATGACCAGGACAATGCTTTGGAAGACCTCATGGCCAGGGCTGGAGCCAGCTGAGACTAGGCCCTGTCACGGCCCTGCCACACAACACCATCCCCCAGGAGGTCCTGCACAGCTCACTTGTGGGGAAGAAGGGACATGCTTCCAGATTTTCTTTGGGGGTTAGAAGGTCAGGCATGGAGATGACATTTGCTAGTCTCTGTGAGCCCCGGCCCAAGCTGGGGGGAAGGTAGGAAGAGTTGAGCATACAAACACCATACTGGCTCCTTCAATATTAAAACATAGCTGTATTTTGAGAAGTGTCCTTCCCACATTGGCCTTTCAGAAAGATTTACTTGGATCTTTCTGGGGTCTCTTACTTCCTCAGCCAAATCCTGACCTGGCTCCCAAGAGGATTGGGAAGAGGAGGAGGGGCAGACTGCTGCTGTTTGGAAGCTAGATGCTTTTCTCTCTGCTATACCACAGGCAGACTGAACTCTAACCCGAGTTGAATACAAATGAGAGGTTCCTCCAGGCCCACCTTCCCCCAGCAGTCTTTAGTGTTACACTGGTTCTGGATGTCTCTGCGGTACAAAAGATGCACTTTTCCTAATGGGGCAGTTCCCATGTGTCCCTGTCCAGGCTGTTTCTTTTGGCTTAGACCATAATCCTCTACTGTTCAGGGCATTGGAGTCCCTGCACTGAGGCTGTTGTCAATTTGAGTAATCATTGGCTCCTTCTCGGTACACTGAATCGGTGAGAAAACAGGCCACGGCTAGTCACTGAGCACTAACCCCCAGTTCTTGAGCAGCCTCTGCCAGCCCTGCTTTAGGATGACACAATGAGTAACACCTAGGCATAGAAACCACTCTTTGGTTTGTTTGTATTATGTTCTACACCGTTAAAGCTCTAAAGACAAAGGATATAATACAGTCTTGAATCTAAAATAATTTGCTAACTATTTTGATTCTTGAGAGAACTACTAATAAAAACCTAAAAGGTACATTGTGCTTCTTTAACTTCTTTATTTTGGAAAATGGCTTGACTCAGGACGGCGGTAGATGCCATAGTCATTTCCGGCCTGCATTTCAGTGCATTCTTCCCAATGGAGACCTGTGGGACCTGGAAGCTGGCCATACTGTTTTCTCTGTTTTTGTTTTTGTTTACAAATACAGACCCAAACAAAGATCTAAACCTTTAAACCGGATCTAGTCCAGTCTCTGGACCAAGGGCATATGCCTTCTTGTCAAAGTAGAGAGGGGCAGACGTGTTCTTTAAAAAATGAAAAGTTGGTCAGGTGGTGATGGCGCAGCCTTTAGTCCCAGCACTTGGGAGGCAGAGGCAGGCTGATCTCAGTGAGTTCCAGGACAGCCAGAGAAGCCCTATCTTGAAAAACCAAAACCAAACCAAAACTGGGATGGGGTTATTTAACTCAGTGGCAAAGCCCTTGCTAGTTGTCCGTGTTAAGGGGTGGAGGGGGTTCCTTTTGCCTGTGTCTGCCACCATGCATACAGTCACAAGCAAGGCTAAAGTGCTTCCCCAGCTCTCAGTGGCATTGGTGCAGTTCTTATCTTTAGTTGAATCCCATGGGGTTCTTGGCTGGGAATGGTCTCTGGTTTTTAGTGGCCATGTGAGGTGCTGTACAGCCCTAAGCTAAGAACAGGCTGCCCTCTGGTGGCTAGTTCAAAGCACTGCCTGTGGCCCACTGTAGAGTCTTTTAAATGTAGCCCATGTTGGTTTCAAGTTCCTCATTCTGTCTCAGCCTCCCAAACCCTGGGATTACAAGTGAGCAATGCCATATCTGGGTTATCTTGGCCTTTTAGACATAATTCTTAAAACCTTAGAAAGTTTTAAAATTCATGTGGCTTCTGGGTTCATGCTGTGATGCATGAATCTTAGGTTAACTCAGGGAACCCTCTGAAACTAATGGACTCTTGAGGTGATTTGTTATTAAAAGGTAATACAGGAGATGGGAAGATGATTCAGTCAGTAAAATGTTTGTGGTGCAAGCATGGGTGCTGAGGGTGGGTCTCAGAAAGCCTGCAGCAGCTGGATGCCCGTGATGCAGGCGGATCTGAGCTGGTCTACACAGAGAACTCCATTGGATTTGTTGGCTAGTTAGTCTAGCCAAATCAGCAGTGAAACAGCAGAGAATAATTGTGGATACCTGGTAACACCTGCCCTACACACAGTAGTACAGCAAGAATTCATTTGAAGAATACAGTGTTTGTTCCTATATCAGAAGGTTCAGACTGTTGACTACACACTCAGTGCCTCAGTGCCAAGATACCCAAAGCAAAGGCCCTTGAGTGTGGCTGGCCCAGGTGTCCTGGAAATTCAGTCTAGGCAATGGACCTGTCTGAGATTCCCCCATCCCATCTAATTATTCAGAGGAACAGGGACTGAGGACTCATAGATGGGAGCTGGGTTTTGCAACAAAAACTGAGGCCTAGTAAGTACTGTCCCATAAGTCTGCTGTCTTAGCAAAAAGGAAATGAGAAAAATGTATTGCCAACAGCACCGTCCATCTCAAAGCTGGGTTCCAGGAACCCACAACCCAGTTGCTCTTAAGGCATCAAGAGTTGTTCGTTTTATATTTTCCAAAACTAAATCTCCACTCTGGTGGGAAGACACTCACCCAACTGCCTGGCTGCCACCAATGCTGTAGTCTTTGAAGACAGAAAGTCAATAAGGCTGTTGGCTGAGCATGTGGTCCCTAACCTCTGATCCCCAGGTTACCACGGAACACCCCAATTTCATCTCAAACTTAGGATCATCTACCATTATTAGACCAAATATGTTCCTACAGACACAGATCAACAAAGCAATACTCTGAGACCCAACAAGAAGGGGACATGAAGGTCTTTGGCCTGGTCCTTTCTTATGGGGGGGGTCCTATAGTTGGAAATGAGGTAAGATAAGGTCTGTCCCTGAGTAGTGTGGCCATCCAAGGCCATGTGTGGCTAGAGGCACGACAGGGAGTGGTTGTCCGCAGGAAGGCCTTGGCAGTCCACCCAGGCTAAGTCTTCCTCTAAGACAGCATGCTTGGTTCTCTTGGGGGCTGCAACTGGCCTGTGGCAGGTGAGGTAAAGCTGTAGCTGGGTTCTCAGACTCTGTATGCACCTGGACTTCAGAGCCAGGACTTTGTCCAGCTGGGTCACGAAATCCTCAAAGTCCTGACAACAAACAAGACAAGTAGAAGTGTTTCTCTTAATGACCATCTTTTCTAAATTTTTTTGTGTAAATTTTTTAAAAAATGTGTTTGAATGTTTTGTCTCTATACCATGTATGTACTTGGTACTACCCAAGGGATTTAGAAGAGGACATCAGATCTCCTGGGACTGGAGTTCTGGATGGCTGTCAGTCACCCCGTGGGTGCTAGGAACCAAACCTGGGTTCTCTATAAGAGCAATGAGTGTTCTTAACTGCTGAGCCTTCTCTCTAGACCCGTAGTCCATCTTCCCAGGGGAAAATCTTTGAAGTTTCTATGGCTTTTGTTGGGAACCTCTTCATAGGTGCAGACTATATTCTGCAAAGGGTGCTTATAAACAATGTTTGGGATCTACAGGTTGTAAGCAGCAAGATGGCCACTGCTACAGTAATCACTGGGAGGCCCTAACAAAACTTCAGGAAGGCAGAATGGCTAAGGACAGAGGCTGGAAACCATTTAGCTTGGCAGTGAACAGTGTAGCACAATCTCCCACCTCTCCCAGACCCTCTGAGGGCCACAAGGCCCAAACTGTTAGCGCACAACCTGATGTCATAAATATCACAGCAAGCATGACCATCAAACCACAAGCTAGCTGTCAATAGCCCATGTGGCTATTCTACTTACACTGGAATCCATCTGGGTCATTAAGGTCTCCTCCCTGAAGTCCAGCTCGGCCATTTCATCCAGCTGTTCCTGGTGTGCACAGATGACCGCCTGCCTAGGAACATAGGGAAGAAACTGACCTTTCTGGTTTCCCATTCAGGGACAGCTTTTGGAAATTGAGCATCATTTTCACACCAGGCCCTGCCTCTGCCCAGGGTGGTAAGGTCAGCTGGCCGCTCCTTGCCTTCTCCTCTGTTCTGTTCATAGGACTAGTCAAGGGGCGAGGGAGTACCCACAAGATAAGTAAGACACAGACTTCTCTGGCTGTCTTTCTTTCCCAGCTGCTTCTCAGGGGCTGCCTATTTCCCATGGCTTCCTTGAGAAAGGCTATAAAGCTGTGGCAGCTGGGGTATTTGGTACAAGGTCTGCTCTTATTTCTACCAGGATCAAAGCAGGTCAGGGCTAAAAACTGGTCTACCTTTGGTCAGGTTCTAATTAGTAGAGAACACAACAGGAACACAAGTTTGTCCAGTGAAGAGGCAGGCAAACTGAAAAGGGCATGGGATGCTAGAGGGGCTTAAGTCCAACTTACTGTGCCTGCTCCAGTGTGAGTGGACAGAGTGTCCCTGAGGCCTTGAGAGAGCAGCTGGGGACCATAGGAGTGTCTGATGCCAAGCACCTTGAGATTGGCTTGTGCTTGAGCCACAAGATGTCCTCGTCTGAGGGCTTGATGGAGTCTGTGGAGGAAACAAGCTCCTGCCAGCTGAACCCTGCAGGGTGTTTTCTCTCCTGGGCCCAGGGACTGCCAGCCTCATCACTACTTCCTGTACATGAGGTGAGCAAAGGTGGAGAGTAGGGTACCCCATCTTTGCTGGAGAAGGGCTTTCTTGGGGATGACAAGGAGCGCCCCAGTTCAGTCTCTTCAGCTTTGTCATGGTACAGATCATCACCCACATGATTCTGAGGCAAGAGTGCAGGCCTTCTTCTCTGGAAGGACCCCCTACTGGACAGTTTGTCAGGGGAACGCTGATGGATGGGTGATGGGGACAGAGCTGGAAGATCACCACTAGGCCGATTGTCAGGGGGAGATGAGGACAGCCATAGGTGTGGAGTTGCTGAAGATACTGGCAAGGCAGCCTCTTGATTGTAAGGTAATACTGTGTGTCCCACTGCAGGCCCTCCTGTGATCTCAGCCATGAGACCATGCCCAGCTCTATCCTGGGCAATCTGCTCCAAGGAAGAAGGGTCCTCCTGACTTGGTGGCTCCAGGAGGGACATAGTGAGAGGAGCCATGAGTCCAGAAACATTTGCAGAGCACGTATGTAACTGCTCTTTAGAGTCTTCTTGGAAAGGAGCACTGCTGTTCACTGTTCCTGGTGCCTGTGTCACTCTGTCTTCACTGACTTCTCTGTCTCTTAGGTCTGGGGATCCAGAAACTGCAATGTGGGATAGTGGGAAAGACAGCCCATTTTCTGGGGATGGCAAGCTGTCCTCAGCCTGCCCAGGAACCTCACTTCCGAAGGCCTCCGGTCTGATGTCAAAGGCTTGAGCTGCACTCATTTCTTGGTGACGCACAAGATCAACCTGTGAGGAGGAAGGCTTCTGGGCCAGGTTGTCCTTAGGAGAAGGCCCTGAGGAGGCAGAGTCTTCCTCCTTGCTCCACATGGAGCACACCTTACTTGGGCTGTGGCTCTGACCGAGTGCCCCTCTTCTGTGGTTTATGATGGGGTCCCTGGGACACACCCAGCTGTCAGCTAGGTCCCTCCCATCACCATCTGTCTCAGAGCCGAACCGCAAACATTGCTGCCTTCCTGCCACCTGCTCCTCAGGGCTGTGCTCCCTGTTCTGATGCAGGAAGAATGAGCTTCCGCTCTTCTCCAAGGTGGTCTTCTGCATATGTGAGAAGGAATCCTCACTGAAATCACTGTCATCCAGGTCCTCAGCCTGGGCCCCATCATGGCTCTCAGGATTAGAGTAGAGGTGAGAAACAGTCTCATTCGGGAGCTGACCTTCTGAGAGCCTGTGCTGACATAAAAGCCTTTCCAGTGGTTGGTATTTTAGCTTCTGCTTGAGGAGTGGTGGCTGCTGGAACTGCTGGTGGTAAAACCGCAAATGCTCCTCCCTTTCCTTCTGCTGGGGAAGAGAGTTTGTCCAGGCTTCAGGGGCAAGCCTGGCAGGTGTACCCACCTTGCTATCCTGACTGGCTTCTAAATGGTGGCTGTTGCCAGGGAGCTGAGCTCGTGGCAGTAGCTGCTTCTGCACTGGCTGTACTGGCTGCACCTTCTTCCCTCTGGCAGGCAGCCTGACACGCAGTAGGCCTTCTCTTGGGCCTGAGGCCCTGCTCTCCCATCCAATGGCAGTCTTGCTGACAATTTGACTTTTCTCAGAGCACAATGGTGCTGACTCTTCTGCTCCCTTTTTGGTCAAATGGCCAGACCTCATGGTTCCTTTCCAAGGGCTAGTCTTTGTGTCCCACTCAGGGGCAGGACTCCCTCGGGAACTACCCCTTTTACTGGGGGTTTTAGGTCCAGAGGCAAAGGGGATATTGGCAGCATGGCTGGCCAAAGGGTGAGCTTTAAGTCTTGTGGGGCCTGAGGCCACAGCAAGTGACTGCTGAAGTCCCAGTTTGACTTTTTTTGGGGAGCACTTGTCCCCTGGCAGGGCAACAGGGGAACTCTGAATTCGTTTTGGAGAAGAGTTTGCAGTTGTCCGATTTCGGCTGGCGGTGGAAGCACAGCACTTAACGCCTTTCTTTAGTTCCTTCACCCTATAAATAACCATTTAATGTTAATTGTACATTCTTCTATATCTGTGATTACTTTCCTACAGTTTTCAGGGAATTAAAACAACAAACAAGGGATGTATGGCAAGGACTGTAAGTTCTTTCTTACTCTGGGAGAGTGTTACTGAATCTTATTTTAACTAGGCTTATGTTCTGGAATATTCAGTTATGTGAAGGTGTATGGCATTTGTTTATGCTGCATTTGTTTAGTTATGTAAAGATGTGCTACATTTGTTTCACCTTGCTTGTCTAAGACACCTCATTGGTTTAATAAAGAGCTGAATGGCCAGTACCTAGGAGGGAGAGGGATAGGCAGGACTAGCAGGCAGAGAGAATAAGTAGGAGGAGAAATCTAGGTTCAAGAGAGAAGAGAATGAGGACAAAGAGAGGGACATGCCCAAGGCCAGAATCCTGGTAGCTGCCAGCCAGCCATGGAGATAACAAGAAAGTAAGATATACAGAAAGAAAGAAGGAAAGGAAAGGAGGGAAGGAAGATAAGTAGGTAGGTAGATAGGTAAAAAGCTCTGAGGTAAAACATAGATGAAGAGAAACAAATTATAAAAGACAGCAAGAAATGAGCCTACGTAAGGCTGAGCATTCATAACTAATAATTAGTCTCCGTGTCATGATTTGGGAGCTGGTTGGTGGCCCAAAAGAAAAAGCCAGGTGCAGGAGAGAATAAAAGAAGACACCTTTTCCTTTAACGTGTGTACCCACTGCACTTGAACTAAGAGTAGTGTTTTCTGAGACTGGAAGTTTGTAACTCAACACAGCCCCATGTAAGGACAAGCTAGGAATCAGGATCATGCTATATTCATGCAGTGCCTGCCATGGGTCCTGAATATAGGCCAACTCAGGAATTCATGTCTACCCTTCACCTATAGTCCCAGACTCCTGTTGTCCTGCAAACACCCTGCCAGGCTTCTCTGGGAAGATGAATTCCCCTAAATCTGCTGGGCAGTTCAGAAAGCAAAACCTCCAAAAAGCAGCAGATTGTGTTAGTCCCACTAGGGGATGACGTATTCCCAGCATCCCCTAACTTAGCAGCACTGACACTTTATTACAGAGGCTCTGTGTATTGGCGATGTTTAGTAACATGTGGTTTTTACCCACTAGATGCCAGTAGCACCTTTCCTCAGTCATGACAATCAAAAGTGTTCTTACTTCTGGGGGCTGGAGAGAGAGCACCTACTGTTTTTGTAGGATCTACCAGGTTTGGTTCCCAGAACCCACATGGTGGCTCACAACCCTCTGTAACTACAGTTTCAGGTGATCTGATGTCTTCTGACTTCTGGCACCAGGCATGCATGGGTGCACATACATACATACATACAGACAGACAGACACACAAAACACATTTACATAATGTAAAACATTTTTATAACATGTATTATGTAAGACACTAATTGTAAGTAGAGATGGAAGGGAAGCCTGGCCAAACAGTTAATGGGTGCTAGCTTTAAGACCAGCAAGATGGTTCAGTAGTAAAGACTTGCTGCCAGGCCTGACAATCTGAGTTTGATCGCTGAGATCCATATAGTAGAGGGCACTGACTATCAGAAGTCTACATCTGACTTCCACACATCCCCACTCCCATGCCTCCTGCAATTTTTCTTACAGAGGTATTACCTCTGCCACCAACTTTTAACAAGTCCTTGGGAAGTTCCTCCCCTTCTTTGGGCCTTTATCTTTATTGACATGTCCAGATTGGTCTTTTCTGGACCTACATGTTCCTACAAACAGTGCTGTGGTCAGCCAGTAGGAAAGTAGGTTAGTATTCCATTCCTGATGGATACTGATGGCATCAATTTTTTTTTTTTTTTTTTTTTTTCTTTTTTGGTTTTGCAAGGCAGGGTTTCTCTGTGTAGCTTTGTAGATGAGACTGGCCTTGAACTCACAGAGATCCGCCTGCCTCTGCCTCCCAAGTGCTGGGATTAAAGGCGAGAGCCATCACTGCCCGGCTTGGTTTTGATTTTGAACAGGGACATGTGCCATCTTTCCCTTGCCACACACACAAATGTAGGGCTCACTGGTCATATTTTTCAAAATGCTGGTATATTATCTCCAAGAAGAGGGCTGTGGAGTCAAATGCCAGATCACTCTATGTCTGAGAGGCATGTGCACAAACACATGTAACCTACACACACAATCTGACTTTTTTCCCCCATTTTTTTGTTTTTTTTTGATACAGTTTCAATGTGTATCCTTGGCTGTGTGGGAATTCACTTTGTACACCAGGCTGGCCTTGAACTCACAGAGATCTATCCACCTGCCTCTGCCTCCTAAGCGCTAGGAGTAAAGGTGTGTGCCATCATGTCTGTTACAACCTGACACCCTATAACCAACTTACCGGTCAGCATAGCGCAAGGTATTCAGTGTGTGCTCTGTGGCTATGTGGCTTGGTGAGATGTTGGCGATCATGCAGGTTTTGGCATTGCCAATGAAAGAGTCCTTCAGGACCTGTCAAACCAAGAGACAGGCCAATGAACAAAGGGAATATTGATTACTTATGTGTGAAGAAGCTGGCCATAGGTTGCTTTATTCACAAAAGAAGAAATACATTATTAGACTAGAGAGATGGCTCAGTGGTTAAGAGTTCTTGTTGCTCTTGCAGAGGATCTGGGTTTGATTCCCAGCAGCCACGTGGTGGCTCACATCATCTCTAACTTAGTTCCAGGGATTCTGAGGCCCTCTTCTGGTCTTTGTAGACACACATGTGGTACATAGCCATACATGGAGGCAAGACATATACATTCCCTCATGTAAAAAGCCAGGCATAAATGTAGGCACCTATAATCTAATGTTGTTGAGGAGTAGAGACAGAAGTTGATGGAGCTTGCAGGCTACCAGCGTAGCTCCAAGTTCAAAGAGAGATCCTATCTTACAGGAAAACAAAGCAGGACACCTGAGGTCTTCTGCCTCTGAGTGTATGGAGATGGAGATAGGTACAATTAACTCATGCTCATATACAACCCTGCACACAAATAGGTATAAAGGAAAATAGTTTTTAAAAGAAAATCCAGCATTTTTGTACATAAGATTAAGAAAGTCTGATGAAAATTTGGCCAGATTAAGGTCCAGAAGTGGGAACTTCCCTACACTACCGAAACAGCAACTTTAATTGTTGACTCAATTAGACTTTAGGGTACCCTTTATCATCATCATCTTTTTCCCCCCCCCAAGTGGAGATAAGATCTCGCTATGTAGCCCTGGCTTGCCTGAAACTTACTACTAGGCTGGTCTCAAATTCATAGAAATCTGTCTGCCTCTGCCTCCTGAGTGCTAGGATTAAAGTGTGTGACACCATGTTTGGCCCTATAACATACACTATTGAGATTATTCCTTTTTAAAAGTAGAAGCATGTTTTCTGGGGATGGAAACTTACTTAAAAACCAAAAAGTTCAATGTCAGAATCAGGAGTGGTTAAATCATGTATGAGCAGAAACTTCACTTGGGTTGGAAAGATGGCTTAGTAGTTAAGAGTGCTTCAGACTCATCCAAGTGATCCAAGTTCAGTTCCCAGCACCCACACTAGGTGGTTCATAATCATCCATACCTGCAGCTCCAGGGGTCAGACACTTTCTAGACTCTGCAGGCACCTTAACTCAGTCCACTACATCCCATATATACACACATATATACATAGTTGAAAAGAGGTTACATCATTGCAGTGAACACTAATTCTAACTAAGGTGAAGCTACTGTGGGCTCTTATCCAAGAACTTCCTTCTGACCTCCCAAGACCCAATCTATTTTTCCCTGTATACAGGATCTAATGATGGAAGGCGCTCAAGACAATATAACAACTTTTACATTTGTTTCTTCCTAGGCAAATCCCTCCTTAGGCTGCTCCTCTGCAGTTCATATAGACCTGACTTATATCTATTGGGACCTTCCAGTCATTTTCACCACAATAGAAGGAAAAACTCCCTATATTTTTATTGCTCAGAATAAACATGGCCTGTATTCCTAGATGCTCAGAAGACTGAGGCAGGAGCATCTCAAGTTCAAGACTCAGTAACCCTACTAAATTATATGTGTGTGTGTGTATGCATGCACGCACGCACGCACGCATGTATGTATGTATATAGTGTGGGTATGTATGTATTTTCCCTAGTATTGAGGATTAAACCTAGGATCTGGTGCATATCAGGCAAGTGCTATCACTGAGATATACCCCGGCCTAGTCCCCATTCATTTTATTGTTGGTCAGGGGTAGATAGTCAGGATCTCATTATATTGCCTAGAGATATCTAGTGTATGTGCTCAAGCAATCTTTTTGCCTCAGCCTATTGCTGGTAACATGGATACACACCAACATATCCAACATTTTATGCTTTGAGATACAGTCTTCTATGTATCCAGGCTGGTCTTGAACTCCTAGGCTCAAGTGATCCTCCTGCCTCAGCATCCTGAGTAGCTGGACTTCAGGAAAATGCCACCACCCCTGCAGAAGGGAGGATCTTTACTCTGGGAGAACATGGAAAGGTGGCATCCTGGTTAGCTTTGACAATCTGACACAGACATCTGAGAACAGAGTCTTTGGTTTTCTTTGGTTTGGTTTGCTTGGTTGGTTTTTGGAGACAGGGATTCTCTATGTAGCCTAATCTGTCCTGGGCTTCACTCTGTAGACCAGGCTGTCCTTGAACTCACAGAGTCATCTGCCTCTGCCTCCTGAGTGCTGGTAGAGAGGAGTCTAAATTAAGGGATTTCTCAGATCAGATCTGCCTGTGGGTGACTGTCCTGTTAGATGAGGTACATGAGCTACCCCATCCGGGGCAGGAAGTCCTGGGCTGAATGGGAGGCTTACCTCAGCCTGGGAGCAAGCCAGTAAGTGACAGTGCTCCATGGTTTCTGCAATGACTCTCCTCAGTGGTGAGCTATGAACTGGACAGAGTATTTTATCACAGAACAGAATGAGACTACAACAGGTGGTAACAGGAAGAGCATGGATGCCCTCTTAGAACTGTGGCTGCCCTGGCGCTGCAGATATCTCTGCCTGTGTACAATGAGAACTCCTGGAAGGAAAATGACACCTAAATTCTTTCTCCCCAGAATGTAGTGGTCACTTGGCTAAATTAACAAAGTAATGGAGGAAGGAACAATGAATGAACCAGAACAAACTCAAGGCTTTTGTTTAACTTTACCTGAGTCAATTTGCTCTGCCTGAAAGGAGTATGGGTGTGTTCCTGGTCCAGCGCTCGAATACATTCCTTCAGCTGTAAAGTGGGAGAGTAAATGACATCAGTATGACATGGAAATAGTGAGGAAGACAGCTGCTACACCCATAAGTTTCTTTCTCTTTTAAAGTTTGTTTTTACTTTACATATATATGAGTGTTTTGCCTACATGTATGTCAGTGCACCATGTGTGTGTCTAGTGCCCACGCAGGCAAGAAGAAGGCACCAGATCCCCTGGGACTGGAGTTATAAATGGTTATGAGCCATGTGAGTGCTGAGAATTTAACACTAAGCCTCTGGAAGAGTAGACAGTGCTCTTAACTTCTGAACCATATAAGCCAGGAAGCTTAGTTTTCTTAAATAAAGCACAGCTAGGAGTTAAGGAGTTAAGAGTGTTGTCTGATTGATAGGCAGTGGTGGCACACACCTTTAATCCCAGCACTCTGGAGGCAGAGGCAGGCGGACCTCTTTGAGTTCAAGGCCAGCCTGGTCTACCAATTCCAGAACAGCCAGGGTTCTTAACACACAGAAACCCTGCCCTGAAAAATCAGAGTGCTGGCTGCTCTTCCAGAGGCCAGGACTCAGTTCTAACCCACACTGGGCAGCTCACACTACTTAACTCAATCCAGCCCCCAGTGCTCTGGGCCCTCTCATGTCACTCATTAATTAAGAAGATGCCCTACTGACTTGTCAATAGACCAGACTGTGGGAGGCACTTTCTCAGTTGACATTCCTCTAATACCCTCTCCTGGCCTCTTCAGACACCCAAACATATGTGGAACACATTACACATACATATAAATAAAACATTAAAACAAATCTCAAAAAGCAAACAGGCAAACTAACTTGGGAAATTTTCCTTAAGAAAGTCAAATGCCCTGTTGTTTCCTATTCAACAAGTAAACTCAAGCAAGACTGGGAAGACACCATCCTGTGCTGTCTTGCTAAGGATCCTAGATTAGCCCTGAGTCCAAGCTCATTCAGTGGGACGCCTGACTTACTGTTCTTTCTGTCTTCACATCTAGCTGCTTTCCTCTCCCCCTCATACATGTACACCTACAGGAATAAATTCAAGTGCAGATTTAGGAGGAGGAATTGGAGCAGCAGAGACAAAATGGTACTGTCCTGTTTGTTTTTTGTCAACTTGACACAAGCTACACCAGCTGCTAGAGCTGTCTGGAAGGAGGATTGTCAACTGAGAAAGTGCCTTGAAAGTAGGGTTTCCTTTTATCTATCAGGAGTTGGTGAGATAGCTCACTGGGTGAAAGCTCTTGCCACACAAGCATGCCCTGAATTTGGTCCCTGGAACCCATGGTGGAAAGAGAAAACCAACTCCCAAAAGGTGTCTTCTGACCTCCAGACACCTGCCATGTATGTGCCCATTTACATACATAGTGGTAATAAAATAAAGTAATCCAACTAAGCGAAGGATGGGGCTGCTTTTTTTTTTTTGAGACAGGGATTCTCTGTGTAGCCCTGGCTGTCCTAGAACTTGTTTTGTAGACCAGGCTGGCCTTGAACTTGCAGAGATTTGCCTGCCTCAAGAGTCTTAAGTTTTTATATTTATTTTGTGTGTGCATGTATGTGGTGACATGTGTGTCATGGACAGCTTGTAGAAGTTGCTATCTTCCCACCATGTGGGTACCAGAGATCGGGTCCCACATGTTAGGCTAGGCAGCAAGAACCTTTAGCTTCCTGGCCCTGGTTAAGTTTTTCAACTGTTAATAACTGTTGAAACTGAGTGACAAGTATATGAAAGATATACTACTTTCTATGTTTGTATCCTTAAGTATAGTTTAAATTTCCTTAGCCATTTAACAATCGCAGAACATTGCTGTCTAACTGGTAGGGATTGAGGGAAAGAGGCAAGGGGGAAGAAGAGTAGCGCAGTAGAGGCTGCCTGCACCTGCAGTCCGCTCAGGACTTCCACTGTCAGGGGAGAGCAAGCACAGTGACCTCCTGATTTTACCCACACTCAACAACTGCCTTCATGCTAGGGCCAAATCTCCTAAAAACAACTCACAGCCAGCAGACTCTGGTTTATTTCTGCGCCTTCCATCTTTGTCTGTCTGTCTGTGTCCCTGGCATCTGCTGCTCTCTCACTGCCAGCCAGATCAATGAAAGAGATCCTAGAAAAAAAGACACAGCAGAAACGACTTCTTTGGGGCTTTGGTTTATTTTCATAATAGTGACATTTTGTGACCTCAGGAAGAAATGGAACATGGCTCATCCTCAGGAAATAAAGGACATTATTGTTAGACTTCCAAAAACATCACAAGACCCTGATGTGTGTGTCAGCTGGAGCCAGCACTGGTTGCTCAGACATGTCTATTGGCTCTACTCGTTTGTGAGGAAGTATGACTGAAATTAATACAGCATTTCCCCACAAGGCTAAGTGACCGTAATGCAAATCAGTTAGGTGACTACTTAGATAATTAAACAGAAAGTTTTATTGGCTATTTTCTAGCAAGAAAGGATGAAAAAGAAGAGAACGACTCATTACTCAGAGGTGAGACAGGCTCATCCATCAGCATGGCAGAGTTTGCTAAGACAGCACCAGAAAAGCAATGAATGTATCCAATTGTCTTACATCTTCTTTCAAGAAGAATGGATCCCCACCCCCATTTATGGCCTGCAAGCTCTCCAAGATGCAGTCTTTGCTGTTTCTCTGCTGATACTGTGTTTCACTTTAGAAGTAATCAATGTCCCTTTTAATAACTTTGGGTTGACCAACAATAGGTCATTACTTCATGGTTAATCAACTGATGGCACTTTATACAATGATTTATTTCAGGGCTAACAACGATTACTCTATATTCCTGCATTGAAGATCCAAGGTGGCAGGGTGTTTCATGTAGAGCATTTTTATTTCAAAGTCACATATGGAAAGGCAGACAATGCAATTCTGCTCACCTGCCAAATGTCCTCTTGGCTGAATCTTTCACCTGAATTTGGATGATAGCGTGGGATCGGGAAGAATCTGCATTGACGCCAGTGGCCCCAGTGCTGCGCTCCTTGCTGCCCTTTAAGATCACCTGAAAATAAAATGCATACAATGACTTCCTCTGGGAGAAAACAAAGACCTCTGGCTCCAGAAAGTTGGCTAAGTAAGCAGCAGAGACCAGGCATGTAATTTTGTTAGCATACTGCAGTTTCTGATGTCCAGGTGGAAGTCTGCCCAGACACTAAATCACACAAAGTACCAACAGCAGTGAGAACAATGAGGAATACTAATCTTGTGGGAGAACAGTCAATGGCTCGAGAGCTAATCTCCTTCTTAATCTTACACACTCTTTTTAATATCTTTGATGGATCTAGCCTAACTAAGATCCCCAGGGCAAAACTTGGCTCAGAGCAAGGTCTCATAGCATTCATCTATCTTAGTAACTGGAGCAAAGGACAAAAATGTACATCACAGAATGACTGATCACATCCACCTGCTCTACCAGGATGCAGGCATGAAGGAGGCCAAACCTGATATTCAGGAACAGGGAAGTGAGTTATTTCATGTACCTGTAACTTCCCTTGACTCCAGTACTCCCTTACCTCTGCCTGGGAGTCAAGACTAACTGGGATATTTTGGCCACAAAGGAGTAGAGGAGGGGAGAAGTCGTCTCAGGCCTCCAGTGTCGGGGCAATGAAAATATACTCACATATGAACATATTACCCTGACTTTTAAAATTTTGATACAGTACTGTGCATGCCATCCTTGATCTGAGATGCAGTAATACTGTGTACAGTCTCTACCTTCCATATACAACTGAGATCCACCAAGGATACATCTTCCTGTATGGATCTTTACAGACAACGCAATGATAAAAAATATGAGCAGGTATCAAAAGTCTTGAGAATAAAAACCTGTGACTATATAAAGTAGCTATTAGGCTACAGAGATGGCTCAGTGGCTAAGAGTCTGCTTGGTTCCCAGCTTCCACATGAGGAGTGGGGACTTGCACTCCTCTGTAGCTGCAGTTCCAGGGTATCTGATACCGTCTGGCCTCTGTGGGAACCTGCAACCACATGTCATATATTCACACAAATATACACAAACATAAATGAAAATAAATGTTTTTTAAAATTTACCTTTATTTTGTGTACACTGATGTTTTGCCTGCATGTATGTCTGTGTGAGGGTATCAGATCCCCTGGAACTGGAGTTACAAGACAGTTTGTGAGCTGCTATGTGGGTGCTGGGAATTGAACCTGGGTCCTCTGGAAGAGCAGACAGTGCTCTTAACCACTGAGCCATCTCTCCTGCCCCAAAAATAAATCTTAAAAACAAAAAGAATTGGAATGATTTGTCAGGAAATCCCTAATTGATTGACCAAAAAAATTAATTAATTAATTAAAAAATTAAACAAACAAAATCTTGAGAGGCTGGAGAGATGGCTCAGTAGATAAGCACTTGTTCCTCCTGTATAGGATCCAGTCTCAGTTCCCATCACATGTCTACAGGTGAAACATTCACACATAAAATGTCTTCATGTGTGCCTGCAGGCCATAAGAGGGCATCAGATCTTACTACAGATGGTTGTGAGCCACAAATGTGGTTGCTAGGGATTTAACTCAGGACCTCTGGAAGAGCAGTCAGTGCTCTTAAACTCTGAACCATCTCTCTAACTCCCCTAAACAAAGTTGCTTTTTGATTTTTGTTTTTTGTTTTTTTAAAGAATAACAACAACAACAAAAATCTTGAATCCATATATGGGCAATATGTCAAGGCAGTTAGTTAGTTCTTCATAAAGGCAGAACAGTCCTGGTGTCTGCACTGGTGAGTTGAGGTAGTCAGAGATGTGGAAGGACAAATTTATGGAAGAAAGGAGACTCCTGTTTGAAAAATGAAGCTGCCAGTTGTGCAGGCAGTATTGGGTAGCCATGTTGGAGTGAGCTTGAGGGTTATCTGAGGGTAAAACTTGAAGACTACACTTTAACAGACACATTAGTGACACCTGAGTGGTACCAACAAAGACATCTGAGAGAGTAGGTGTAACATTTAAGTAAGCAAGTGCTGTGCTTTCCAGTCAGTAAATGTTTACGAGAGTAACTGTGTCAGGTATGCATAATTCATATTAACCTTCCACCTGGATCTCTGATGTCCTCCTGACTGTAGCTTTGTAGACTAGGGAAATCAATGAAAATAAAAGTTACATGTTAACAAACGCAAATCTTCATGCGTTTTTTAAGGAACAATACTTTAGGATAAGACAATGCCATATACTCTTCCAAGAGAGCACAGCTGTGGGCTGGTGGTGTAGCTGAGTTGGCAGAGTGCTTGCTGAGCCTGTGTGTGGCCCTGGGTTTGACCCAAGTAAGAAAAAAAGGTTTCCCTAAGGTGCTTGTTCATTCCCCATTTAAGAATCGAAAAGACTAGAGTCACCTCAAACTCCTCAAGGAATGGCTGGGGAAAATAGGGCAAGAAGATGATAAGAATACTTGTGTGAGAAACACTTTCCTTCCAACTCCACAGCAGAGAATTCTGGGAAGCTTGTTCTGTGCCTGCCTCTGTAATCAGTAGAAAGGGGCTTTTATGTGATCTGCTACAATAGCCACACAGATGCTATCTTCCTTCAGATTTCAGATCCCAAGACACAGGAATGTGAATAGCACACAAATACGCTCAACCCTCAGAGAAAGCAAAACCTACCTATTTATCTTGGGAAAAACAAACTCAGAAACTAAGGTATTACTAATTATAAGTTACCTTATCATTTCACACAGTATTTAAGATTTATTTTTATTTTTAATTGTATTTATCTGTGTGTGCTCTTAACTGCTGAACATCTCTCCAGCCCCAAAACAACCAAGTCTCTCCCTCAAGTCCCCTCTCCTTCTTGTCTCATTATATAGCTCAGATTGGCTTGGTTTATGATCCTCCTATCTCAGCTTTCCAATTGTTAGGATTATAGGCATGTACCACCATTATCAGCAATTTTTTAAAAAAAGATTTACTTATTTACTTTGTATACAGTGCTCTACCTGCATGTATGCCTGCATGCCAGAAGAGGGCACCAGATCTCATTATAGATGAGCCACCACTTAGTTGTTAGGAATTGAACAGCCAGTGCTCTTAACCTCTGAGCTATCTCTCCAGCCTACCAGCAATTTTTAATACTTCGTTTTGAAAAAGCAGTAACAAAATTGCACAAACACCCTATTATTTGTAGTTAAGAACAGCCTGTGAGCCAGGTGTTGGTGGCACATGCCTTTAATTCCAGCACTCGGAAGGCAGAGGCAGGTGGATCTCTGTGAGTTTGAGGCCAGCCTGGTTTACAGAGCTAGTTCCAGGACAGGCTCCAAAGCAATACAGAGAAACCCTGCCACAAAAAAAACCAAAAAACAAAACAAAACAGCTTGTAAATGCTCGATTTTAAGCAAAGCCAGAAGACACTGTTATAAATGTATTAATCCAGTGACTATTTGTTTTTACTTTCTTAAGAAAAACTGATCCCTAATAATCCTCTATAGATAATGAAGTATGCTTAAAATGGTGCTGCTTCAGAGTTCATAAATCTGGGCTGGAAGTTGGCTCTTCAGCCCTTGGCTCTCTGATGACTAGCTTCCAATTTTAGCTTCGGTTTGCTCACCTGGAAGACAAGCTTTATAATACAGATCTTTAAGGTGATTAATCACATGATATTTTGGGGGGGACCACCGGCCAAATATTTGATAGATAGTTAAGTATTCAGTAAACATTTGCAGTTAACATTAAAACAAATGAATGTAGGGTGGTGGTACACACATTTAATCCCAGAACTTGGCAGGCAGAGGCAGGTGGATGGATATCTGTGAGTTCAAGACAAGCCTGGTCTACACAGTGAGCTCCAACATCAACACCCTGTCTCAAACAAACAAACAAAAAACAAAGAGCTAGGTGTGGTGGCTCAGACCGCTCATCATTTTACTTGAGGAGACCTGAGGATCATAAATTCTAGGTCATCCTTGGAGCCAGCTTGAGCTATATAAGAACTTATTTTAAAAAAAAATGTTGGAGCCCATTTCCTATGGAGAGATACCTTGCTCAGCCTAGACACAGCAGGGAGGACCTTGGTCAGGCCTCATCCAACAGACTTCTTTGACTCCCCATGGGAGCCCACAACCTGAGGAGCAGATGGGGGGTGGGGTGAGAAGGAGATGGGGGTCAGGATGAGGGGAGGGAGAACTGGGATTGATATGTAAAATTAAAAAAATAAAGTAAATTTAAAAAAATGTTAAAGCTATTTTTGAAGCAAAGAAAAGGGCCATGAATGATCTACTGTAAAGCTGGGGTTGAGCCAGGATAGCCCAGTGCTTGGTGGCAGAGTGCTTGTTAGTGTAAGGCTTTGTGTTTGATCCCAGCATCTGTTCCCCCAAGAAATCCAGGCTTGAGGATCATTAGAAGAAGGTTCACTAGAAATATATTTGTACATAAATTAATAAATGACTTCTGAACAAGAAAAAAGCAACAACCAATTAACAGTGGATATCATAGAGACATTTATTGTGTGTTAAGGATAGTCAAAGGGCTCTTACTTTCTACCACTTTATATATTTTTATAATGTTTAGATTTAACAGTGAGCAAATATTATATTTGTTATAACAAATGGATACCTTTTAATAAAGAAACACTTCAAAATTCCTTTGGAAGGGTACACAAAAACTAATAAAATTAGTTGCCTTGGGAGCAGGATTTTGAGAGCATGTGAAAGTATTGTTTATTAAAATTTTATTTAAAATAAGAACACTTGCCTCTAGCAGCTTTCTCCTAAGCCCACTGCCACAGAAATTATAATTGCAGCCTTTGAAACTGGCCCAAGAGCATCTTTGCCATGCATTTGTTTCTGCCACATGCCTTCTACTTTAGACACTGGAGAAATAAACTATCTTCAAAAGGGGGGTCACATTTCACAAATGTGAGTGGCATGGCTACCCTCTGTCTTTATCTGAGCCATCACACTTGCTAGGAAGCAGTGTTTCCCTTGGGCTGAGGCTGCTGTGGGTATAAGGAGGAGAAATGAATTACCTGTAGGAGGAGCTCCACACTGTCCACTTGGAGTTCTCGAAGACCAGCGATCTGCACCACATGCTTGCTGTCTTCTCTTGCAAAAAGCCTGCCGAGGAAAGACTGTTTTGTTTTGCTTTCCCAAAACCTTCTATGAATTTCCCATTACATAGTTTTACCATATGGATGGGATAGATATGCTTCTCCGCCCCAGCCCATCTTCAGACTGCCATGGTGGTCCTTCCTTGTTGTATAAACAAATCAGTATCTTGATTAAAATCAAAAGAATGAGCATAAAACCCTTATATATTCCAAACCATGGATGGCATAATCCTGGCTAGTAACAAGTGCACTGGTGGATGCAGGATCTTTCTGTCTAATCAATTGTGGCTCTAATCTTTACTTGCTAGCTGCTCTCCTCTTCTCTTGAAAACATGTAGTCCCAGGAGCAGCAGCAGTCATTCTCTATCTATGAGAACTAGCTTCAGGATGAAGGTAACAAATAGAGGTAGAGCAGGGAGATGCAAGTAACCACATCATTATCCCTGAGCAATGGAGCAGAATGTTCCTAGCCCCAAGTTATCTGAGCCAAGATTTCTCTAAATACAGTAGAGCTGGGGTTTTGTTTTTAAATTTGTAACAGGAGTCCTGATACATAGTTTTGTTTTGTTTGAGACAGGATCTCACTATGTAATTCAAGCTGGCTTCTATTTTGTGATCCTCCTGCCTCAGCCTCTGGTTATTTTTCTAAAATGGCAAGGAAGGGGATGATACATCTGAACACTCAGACCTGCAAATACCGTGACAAATGATTACGGCCTGCCACTGACATCAATCAGGTGCACTGGAACAGGTACTAAGTCTGCTCACTATTCCAAAGGAACTCTTACTTTTACTAAGATACCGAAGAAGGCTAAGAGAAAATTCTATTTGTAGCAGAAAGAGGTATTGAGAGAGAATGAATTACTTTCTCAAAAAAAGTGGTGGGGGGGGGTTTGTGTGCAGGTGTGTGTGTGTGATGAGGCAGACGTATATCTGTGAGTTCAAGGCTAGCTTGGTCTACAAAGCTTGTTCCAGGCCAGCCAAGGATACACGATGAGACCCTGTCTGAAAAACAAAACCAAACAAACAAAAATATTTTTTCTCAGTGTAAGCTTCATTGCAAGTATCCAAACTTTACAGTACAAAAGAAACCCTGTCTTGTTAATGCCCATGATCTCTCAGAAACCAGCCACCAGGTCTACACCATGGCTACTTAGGGAAACACTATCTCAGATAACACCACCTCTTCCCCCCCCAAAAAAAAAGAAAAAAAGAAAAAGAAAAGGAAGAAGTAGCAAATTTACCATATAGGGCTTAAAAGGACCCACTGTTATACCATCTGGGCTTCAGGGATCAAACCCAGACTGTCAGGCTTGGTAACAGGTACCTTCACCAACTAAGCCATCTTACCAGTCCTTTTTAGTTGTTTGTTTTTTAGCTAAGTTTTTTTTTTTTTTTTTTTGTGATTTCTGGTTTTTTTATGCTGGGAATTGAACTTAGGGCCTTGTGCATGCTAGGCGGCCACTCTTCCACTGAGCTACAGCATTCCCTTATATTTCTTCCAGTTAAAGCTTTTTGTGATTTCTGTTTTTGTGTTTTAAACAAAGTCTTAGTCTATAGCCTAGACTGGCTTGAAATTCACTATATAGATCAGGATGGCCTCAAACTTAGAGTGGCCCTCATGCCTTTGCCTTCCAAGTGCTAAACCTGGCTTATGAAGTATCTTACCTAAAAGCATCACAGAAAAGTATTACAGCAAATATATGAAAGAGCATCATCAAGGACAGGCCTCTACAGAAGCCCCAGAAAGGTAGGAACAAAAAGACCGTATTAGATGATTACCCAGAGTTTTAAAAACAAACAGGCCCCACAGCATAAGACACAAGTATCTTAGTTAGGGTTACTATTGCTGTGATGAAACATTATGACCAAAAGCAGCTTGAGGAGGAAAGGGTTTCTTTCACTCAGCTCATCATTAGCTACTGAGCTAAGGCCTTGGGTTAGGTCTTCACCTCTGAAAAATAAATAAAAAACAGTGAAGTTGAGAACTCAAACAGGGCAGGAACCTGGGGGTGGGAGGTGATGATTCAGAGGCCATGGAAATTGTTGCTTACTGGCTTGCTTCTCATGGCTTGCTCAGCCTCCTTTCTTATAGGCCCCAGGGATGGGACCACCAGGACAAGGATAGCACTCCCTGTAATTAAGTAAATGCCCTACAAACTTGCTTACAGCCCAATCATATGGAGGCATTTTCTTCGTTGAGGTTCCCTCCTCTCAGATGACTTTAGCTTGTGTTAATTCAACATAAAGCTATACAGTATATACAGTAAGCCTCAAAAAATAGCTTCAAGGACTGGCAAGATGGTTCAGGACACAAAATAAAATATAATAAAAGATTTTTTTAAAAGTTTTTTTGAGTTGGGGTTTCTCTGTATAATAGCCTAGCTGGCTGTCCTGACACTCTGTAGACCAGGCTGGCCTCAAACTCACAGAGATCTGCTTATCTCTGCCTCCCAAGTGCTGGGATTAAAGGCATGAACCACCACACCTGGCTAATAAAAGATTTAAAAAAAAAAAAAAAAAAAGCTTTCAACCAAGAGTTGGTGTATTTGCATCTTGTTTACTATTGAAGAATATAAATATACAGGGTAGTAATTTAGATAATTCATTAAAGACTTATAATCTGAAACAATTGGATATTGCCTCTTCATAAGAACGTATACACAGGCACACACGGGGGCTGGAGAGATAGCTCAGTGGTTAAGAATACTGGCTGGTCTTCCTGAGTTCAATTCCCAGCAACCACATGATGGCTTATAACCATTTGTAATGAGATCTGGTGCCCCTTCTGGCCTGCAGGGATACATGCAGACAGAACAAATCTGCATAAATAAATAAATAAATAAATAAATAAATAAATAAATAAGGGGTGGGAAAAAAACCGCATACACGGGCTGGAGTGTTAAAGGTAAGGTTCACAACCGAAAATATAAGAACACACACACTCAAATGCACATCCCCTCTCATGCTTTGAAACTGTGATCCTCTTATCTCAGCCTGCCAAGTGCTGGCACCAGGTCTGTGCTAACATGACTGGGTAAAGTTCCTCGCCTCCCTCATTCAGGGCCTTACACAGGTCAATTGTTATACCACACAACTATAGCCTCAACTTGGAAAAGGCTTTTAATGAGGGTACCTGGGGTTGAAAATTAAGCCACAATTGAGCTAAATGGAGACTTAAACAAAGATGTTAAATCAGAAAAGTAACTCTTGCCCAAAGTATTTACTAAGTAGCACTACCTTCATTTGACAGTAATATTTCAGAGATGAACCCTGAGCACTGTATTTTCTGTCAACTGTGAAACACTGGCATAACTATTTGTTGGAATGGTCAACAGTGCAATGACCTGTCTACACATATGGCCGGCTTCTTCAGTTATGCTACTCAATACCCTAGTGCTCTTCCTGCTGGAGCTTTTCCCACTGAGGACTCCCTACTCAACAGGAACTGTCCCACACATGAACCTGAATGTCACACTGGCCACCTCCACAGCAGCTTGCACACCTTTGCTGTGGTGCTGGTCAAGCTTTCCTAGCTTTCCACCATGCTTAACTTCCACTCACTCCTCCCCAAAAGTAGCAGGGTTAGTTTATTCTGCTATGACAATATTTTTACGTTCTGACCTCCCTCCCACCTGCCTGTGCTCCAGCTAGTAGATCCCTTCCCAATCTTGTTGCCTGCTGTTCAGTTTAAATCACATGTTCCCACCTAGACAAACCTTTATTCTAGAAACACATATAATTGGCATACTGATACTCTTCTAGATAACTTTTAGGTTATAAGAACAGTAAGATGAAGCCTGATAACAGTTAAAAGTTGGAGGCGGGACAGCTCCTGCCACCAAGCTTGACAGAGTTCCATCCCTTAAGTCAGTAGTTCTTAACCTGTAGGTCACAACCATTTGGGGGGGGGGGAAGAATGGAATCACCTTTTCAGAGGGGTCACCTAAGATCACTGGAAAACACAAATGTTTATATTGCAATTCATAACAATAGCAAAATTATAGTTATGAAGTAGCAACAAAAATAATTTTCTTTTTGTATTGAAGGGTAGAAGCATGAGGAAGACAGGCTGAGAAGCACTGCCTCAGAGGCACACAGGAGAGAAATGACTCCTGCAAGTTATCCTTTGACCTCCACAACCCCATCATGGCACACATACAAACATACACACACATACACATATGCCCACAAAATAAAGATATTAAAATGTAATTTAAGACTCAGGCTGATTCCCAGCACTCACACGGCAGCTGCCTGTTTGTAACTGCAATCCCAGGGATTCTGATGCCCTCTTCTGACCTCCATAGGCACAAAACATGCATGTGGTACAAAGACATAGGCAGGCTAAATACTCACATACATAAAATAAAAATAAATCTTAAAAAAATTGAATGTGAAGAAAAATCTTCTTTTGCCAAGTTCAGAAAACTGTCATTAAGTTTACACTAACATTATTTTAAGGAAAAAATATTTAAATACATGCTGATTTTGACTTTCTAAATTAAAATCTTTTTCATAGGAAAAAAGGGGAGGAGTCTTGGTAGATACTGTTTTTTCTTCTCAAAAACATTAATGGGAACTGAAGATGTAGCCCAATGGCAGAATGCCTGCAAACATGTGTAAGGCGCTAGAGGTTCAATCCCCAGCACCAAAAAGATATTAATGGATGGCTACTTTACATTTTTCTCTAGCTGAGTTAACATTTTCAAAACTGTTAGGTATAGTGGCAAAGTCTTTAACTCCATCACTTGGGAAGCTGAGTCAGGATGATCACAAGTTCAAGGCTGCCCACACAAAACAGCAAGTTTTATACCAGATAGGACTACACAGTTAGACAGTCTCAAAGCAGAAAAAGGAAGGAAGGGGAAGAAAGAACATCCTGTTCACAGAAATGCTCCCATTAAAGTCATGTGAGCAGTGATTCTGTGGAGCTCTGGCTCAAACAGTGATGTACATGTAGACCAAAGCATCTCACTCTTATCTAGTACCGTTTTCTTCTATTTAGGAGGTCATAAAGTTGTCCACAATAGATTTCATAGAAGCTGATCCACACAAAGAGGTTCCTTCTTGATACTTTCAGCTGCCTGAAGATGTCTTTGGCGGCCAGAGCATACAATCCTGGGTTTTGATGAGTTCCTATCATGGTATAGGTTTTCCCAGCACCTGTTTGTCCATATGCAAAGCAAGTAGCATTGCCTCTGGGGGAAGAATAATCAGAATTACTTATAAATATTTAAAGAAGTGATAATTTGCATAGAGTTGTTTAATAATAAGTTGGGAAGAAACAGAATCTTTGAAGAAATCTAGCATATAATTCTTTAAGAAGAAGAAGAAGAAGGCTTATATTATGAAAACACAAGTAAAAACATCTTCAAACCAAGATATATTTTCTTAAAGGAATTTTTAAAAAAGATTTGCTTATTTATTATATACAGTATTCTGCATGCATGTAAGTCTGCAGGCCAGAGGAGGAAACCAGATCTTATTACAGATGGGAATTGAACTCATGACCTCTGGAAGAGCAGCTAGTGCTCTTAACCTCTGAACCATCTTTCCAGTCCTTCTTAAAGGAATTATTTTACAGAACTGATAATGCCATATAAGTCAACTATTGAATAAGGACTTTGAACACAACTTGAGCTATAGATATAGCTCAGTTTGTAGAATGCTTGCCTTGCACATAGGAGACCATGAGCTTGATTCCCAGCACACACACACACACACACACACACACACACACACACACACACAAACACCAAGTTTTTATTATACATAAGATGCTTAGATGTGTCCCAAAGACCTTGTCTCTTCCTTTCCTTTTCTTTCCTTTTGCATTGTGTGCTTTGTTTGCATTCTGTGCTTTGTTTTTGTTGTTTTGTGACAGCTATCTTGGAGCTCACTGTGTAGACCAGGTCAATCTTGAACTTGTGTCTATTTTTCCACTTTGGCTTCCCAAGTGCTTAAGAGATTGCTAATTATTAAAGTCAAGCTAATTATAACCACTTACATATTTTATTCTGATGATATTGACAAAATTAAAGTCCTCAGAGCTTTTACTTTCCTAGGAAACAGAAACAGTATCTCTAGTGTAAAAGGGAAATTTGTTGCAAATTTCTCAGTGTTTGGTAAATTTAGGTGATGACATTCAAAAGTACTAGAAAAGCACCCATGTATTAGTAAAAGGGACACAGCTTATAGAGAACAGAAAACTAAAAGAAGGAGAAGGAATCAATCTATCTCACCCATTGAAAATATGCTGGATGAGTGGGTGAGCAGTCTTCAGGTATACATCTCGATTGGTGCAAGCCTCACCAAAGACTTCATCAAAATAAAAAACATGCTGAAAAATAAACTTGATTGTTATAGAAATACATTTGTATTTTCACCACCACTATTCTATTAACACATGGGAAAAGCTAAACACATTTCAAAGCAATAGTAACTGACTGAAAAACTCAAGGAAATGAATAACTAGTAAATGCCCATCTTTATTTTTCACCCCGTCCTTACATGTTCCTGCAGTGTAATAACAAAATAGACAACTTTTGTTCTCTCTTAAGAGAAGTAAACTGATGAAGACAAGAGTAAGTCAATCCTCTTGGGTCTGGGAGAGAAATGAATTCTATAAGGATTATCTTACAGACTAAGCAAGGTCAATGTATATGAATCTAGGGATCAATTTTCATTCTGTAGGTTATATATCTTAACTTGTAGTTCCACAGACATTCACTGTTAGCTGGAGGATGTATACTCTAACAGGAGTGTGCAGGAGCCCCAAAGATAAAGACATTATCCTACCCCACTCCTGAAGGTGCTGATATACACAAATACACAAATGACCTATCTGATAGCAGAGCTTAAAGAGAAAGTATGGGTGAGATAAATGAACATGCACCCTCATAATTGCTGAACTTGCCCCATCTTCAGTGTCTTGTGATACTCTGAGTTGGAGTTATTAATTATTTAGCTATTGGGGAAGTCACAATTTTTGCCTTAATGGATCTGATTGATTATTGTTATTACTATTTGAGACAGGGTCTTTTGTGCATCCCACACTGATTTTGAAGCTACACAGCCAAGGATGACCTTGGACTTTGGAGTGTCCTGCCTGTCTCCAAAGTGCTAGAATCACATGAATGTCCCACCCTGCCTGGTTTATGTGGTGCTAGTTTACTCTATACTGTAAGGTCTAGAGCCAGAGCTACATGATAAGAAAGATCCTGTCTGGCCCCTACTCAAAAAACCCAACCAATGGACCACAAGAAGAGCCTTTCTGGAGAAGAGCATGTATTCCTTTTTGTCTTATGAAATTAAAGACATAGCCCTGCCAGGCGTGGTGGCATTTAATCCCAGGACTTGGGAGGCAGAGGCAGGTGGATCTTGTGAGTTCCAGATCTTGTGAACCTGGCCTACAGGGTAAGTTCTAGAAAATATAGTGAGACCCTGTCTTAACAAACACACACTAAAACCAAAATGAAACAAAAAGCACAGGCCTTTTGAGGATATGGTAAATCCTAGAGTCCCTGAACAAATTTATTTTTACTGATATATATGAGTGTCTACTGTATGAGTGTGAGTGCCAGAAGAGGGTGTCAGATTCCCTGGAACTGCACTTATATGCCATTGTAAGCTGCCTGACACAGGTGCTGGGACTGAACTCAAACCCTCTGGAAGAGCAGTATGTGCTCTTACCCACCTAGCCAACTCCCTAGAGTCCTGTAAAAATTGGAATGGACTAGCTGAGCACTGTAGTACATGCCTGTAATCTCAGAACTTGAGTCGACAAGGCAAGAGTATATAGCCAGCAGACTAGGTAGTGATACATTCCCTAAATAAATATGCAAATAAAATAATTTTTTAAAACTGGAAAGTAGGGAAGAGCTTGGGATGCAGCTCAGTGGTAAAATATTTTTCTAGCATAGGTGAGGCCCTGAATTGAATTTCCAGAATTAGTGTGTGTGTGTGGGGGGTGGGGAGGAGTGAGTATATGTGTGTGTGGGAGGAGGTGTAAAAGTAAAACAAAAAAGAGAAAATAGAACAAAAAGAAATAATTTGGAAAGGAAAATAATTTTGCTTGTACTTACTGTGCTTGTATAAAAACAATTTCTGGGGGGGGTGTTGAGACAAGGTTTCTCTGTAGATTTGGAGGCTGTCTGGGAACTTGCTCAGTAGACAGGCTGGTCTCAAACTTACAGAGATCTACCTATCTCTACCTCTCGAGTGCTGGAATAAAGTGTGTGCCACCACCGCCTGGTGCTTACATAAAATTTTTAATGGATAAGTGGCAGACATACTTGGTTTGAAGAAGATAGGCCATTTAACTACATACACAAAGTTTCTGTTTTACTCCCTGAATAAGTTTCAAAATAAAACCTAAAGAATCTAGGATCACTTTCATTTAGCACCATGTTCAATACAGACTTATTTTTAAGGAAGGAAAAGGGGAAAGGATGTAAGTCCTTCCAATATTTTTATATTATAGCATTGACAGGTAAGGATTCTGACCAAGGAGATCAAAGGTCCAAAGTTCAACAGCAGAGAAAATGCCATGGAATCTATGGGTATTCAATAAATATTGATCAATGGAAGTGACAAAGAAGTAAGGTTATTGTGTTTGGGGATAATGGAAAAATACAAAAGATAATATGATGCCTCCTGGAGGGAATTACTGTGACTGAAGCATCATTAAGGAAGCCTTGGGCAGATGGTGATTGGGCAGAGCTATTCCTCTGGCTATAGTAGCTGTAGAACTAACTAGCCTTACAACTAATTGGTCATTTAGACTATCTTCAAAGTAAGTATCTCCCACTGAAACCTAATAGACTGTGCATTGATCAACAATCGATGAAGCTGTTAAAATGATTGGGTTGGCTGTACTGTGACCTAGTAATTTATTGCCCATAGAAAGACTATTGGATTACTCTAAATGTCACTGTGAAACTCAATTTTTGGAAGAACAATGCAAGTCTGAAAGAAGGGGTAAGTTTCAACAATCTGACTTCAGTGTTACAGAATTTACTGCAATAGAATAATATCTCAGCTGACTAAGGTGAACTGCTAGCACATCCCATTAATCACTGCATTTTTTTTTTTTCTCATTACAAGTCACTGGGTTTTGCAAGAGAACAAGAGAAAGAACCAATGTTCAGTATGAATACTTATGAAGGCAGACTCTTTTAAGAAGGCAATTCATGTAACAGAAACTACTCGTGCCAAAGTCCTTGTGTGTATGTACTGGTGTATACACCTATGCGTGCACATGGAAAGGTCGAGATTGCTGTTAGGAGTCTTTCTGTCACTCTGAGTCTCATCTTTTGAAACAGGATAGTTCACTAAACCTGAGGTTCATCAATTAACTAGACCAGTCAGAAAGCAGTTCTCTTGTTTCTGTCTCCCAGGGCTGGGGTTACAGTTATCTGCCACAAAGCCCAACTTTGTATGTGGATGCTGGGGTCTGAACTGAGCTCCTTACACTTGTGTGGCCAGTACTGTAACCACTGAGCCATTTCCTTAGTTCCTAAGATTTCAGTCTTAACATACTATGAATTACATAACTTTCTCTCATTTGTAGAGTTTGTTACTTCTCTATGAGAATTGGTACAAGGGTACCTGCTAGCTTAGAATAAGCTCTTTTCAACACCAAACTTTTTTTTATAGACAGTTTGAATTTTTTATGTCTGAACAGTATTTTATTAAACCCTTACATGTTTAAATGTGGAAACATATCCCTAACAACATATTATCCATAATTAAATACAAGACTCTTACTCAAGAGTTGGACATAAGAGTACTTGACTGTAACAGCACTCAGGATGCTCAATCAGAAAAATAGTGAGTCCAAGGCCAACTTGGGCTATACAACAAGTTTCAGGCCAGCCTGGACTACAGAGTCATGCCCTGTCATCAACAAAACTCACACTGAGCAGTGATGAGCTGACATTACACACTGACCATGAAAAGCACTTGCCTGTAATGCCAGTATGCGGGAGACAGAGGCAGGAGGACAACTGCAAATTCAAGTCTTGACTGGTATGTTAGCAAAGTCTAGGTGTGCCTAGCAAATTCTAGGCCAGCCAGGCCTGAAAAATGAGATTTTGTTTAAAACAAAAAAGAGCTCAGTTGGCATATGCCTTTAATCCCAGCATTGAGAAGGAAGAGGCAGGCAGATGATCTTTATGAGTTAAGGCCACCCTGGCTCAAAAACTAACAACAGAAAGAAGAAGAAGAGGAAGAAGAGGAAGCAGCAGCAGCAGCAGCAGCAGCAGCAGCAGCAGCCAGCCAGCCAGCCAAAACAGCCTGGCAATGGTGTCACAAACCTTCCAATACTCAGGTGTCAGAGGCAGGTCAATCTCTATGAGTTTGAGGACAGCCAGGGCTGCTACATAGAAAGACCTTGTCTCAAAAACAAAATAAAACAAAACAAAAAAGAAACCAAAAAGTTCACATTGCATGATACAGGGGAAAAAGGAGAATAAGTTTGTGACCATCACTTTCTACTATTTTAAATTATTTTTTATTCTCTCATCTGTACCCTTGATTTTGCTAAATATGTACAATTAAATTCACATAAACAGGCTTGAGAGATGGCACAGTGGTTAAGAGTACTGGCTGCTCTTCCAGAGGACTTGAGTTCAATTCCCAGCACCTGCATGGCTGCTTATAGCTGTCTGTAACTTCTGATTCAAGGGACCTGACACCCTTACAAGGACATACATGTAGGCAAAACACCAATGCTCATTAAATATATAAAAAATTCACATAAACATGTTAAGTGAACCTATGGTAGATCTTCATTACATAACACAGGAATTATGGTTTTCCAAATACGTATATCATAATCACACTACATTTTTAAAGTATCAATAATTCAGAATAAAAATCAAGAGCTGGGCACAGTGGCACATGCCATTAATCCCAGGATTTGGGAAGCAGAGGCAGCCAGATGTCTGTAAGTTCTAAAGAAGGTAAGAACCTGTCTCAAAATAAATAATAAAAAACATTAAAAAATCAATACCTGAATCAGAAGCTGGATTTTAAAACAACCATTTAAACATAAAGCAGAAAACTGACATACTTGATAATACTAGTTTGAAACACAGAAAGCAAATGATTGTACCTGAAGAATATACTGTGTGAGGTCTACTGCTTCTTTTTTTTCATGTACAAGCAGAGTTTCTTTATCTTCTACTGTAATAACATTAACTTCTCCACGACGTACTTCCCTCACACCTAAGGGGCGTTTTCGAACACAGACTCTGATTTTTTCCATTTCAGTCCAAGGATTCTCTGAAGTAATCTGTCTGATAAATGTTTACAAAAAGATGTTAATTCTTAATAAAAGGATTCAATTATTTAAATGGTCAAAGTGTCAGCACATTTTGAATATAATTAATATAATTATTTTGGGTTTTTTGTTTGTTTTTGTTTTTAAGACAGAGTTTCACTTTGTAGCTCAAGCTGGTCTAGAATTTGCTATGTAGCCCAGGCTCACTCTAACTTTCTATCTTAGCCTCCCAAGTGCTAGGACTACAGGTATGTACCACCACACCCAAGTTTTGAGACAAGGTCTTACTGCTATAGTGAAGGCTAGCTTGGGATTCCTGTTTCTGTTGCCCTCACCTCCCATGTGCTGGGATTATAGGCCTACACTACCACACCAAGCTCATTTAAACAATTCCATATTAAATGTCAGCAATGAGAAAGTTCTTACTGGCAAACTTCTGGTTTCCATCTCTTACCTCCTCCACCTCACTCTTTTCTCTAACCCTTCTCCCAGAAGAAGGAGGTGGAGGAGAAGGAGGAGGAAGACTAATAACTAAACTGTTATTTATTTTTCTGTCTTTCGAGACGGGGTTTCTCTGGCACTCCCTCTGTAGACCAGGCTGGCCTTGAACTCTGCCTCTGCCTCCTGAGTACTGGGGTTAAAGGCATTCGCCACCACTGCCCGGCCAAACTGTTATTTTAGCGCTAAGACGTGTGTGGTTAGCTTCTAAATATGATCTCCTAGTGCTCTCTGTGCCCCCAAACTCCAGCTGGTTATTCATCAGAATCTATCCCTATGCTGCTACTAAGATTCCAAAGCCTCACCAAAGCCCAAATCTTGCACATTTAACATTTTTCTTGATCATTAATCTAAATTCTTGTTTGGTGTTTGTTGTGTGTGTGACAAGATTCTCTTGTAAAGCAGGCTGGGATCACAGGCATATGCCATTAGACCCAGTTTATCTGATGCTGGGGAGAAAACCCAAGGTTTTGGGCACTAGAGTAAGCACTCTAGTAACTGAAAGATACCCCATACCCTACGTTCTGGGTTGTTTTGTTGTGTTTTTTGTCTATCCTACTGGTTTACTAAGTGTCTCGAATTAGCATTTTATCAGCTGAACTAGCTTCCTAGCCTCCTTCTTTTTTTGGCCCCACCCTGGTAACCATGTATTTCTTCTCAGAACAATTTATGACTAGTCCTGTCCACTACTACCTCAGCCTCCTATCCAATGCACTCTTTCAAATCGCTTCAATACCCAGCATCTGAAGGACTACTCCTTGAGTCAAGGTTACAAAACTAATGAGATTATTTACTGACATTCATATGGTATATGTGCCTAACCACTTATACCTCTCTAAAACTATGCTGTAAGAAAATAACATCTATTTTTCCTCGTTTCATTTTCTTTCACAAAACTCTTTTCAAAAGCATGCTTTTTTTTTCTTTTCCCTTTCTTTCTTTTTCTTTTCTTTTCTTTGATGTCTGGAGTCAGGGTTTCTCTGTGGAGCTTTGTAGACCAGGCTGGCCTCAATTTCATAGAGCTCTACCTGCTATGCCTTCCAAGTGCTGGAAGTAAAGGCTACCACTGCCCAGTGAAAGCAGGTATTTTTATCAGGATTAATAGTTTTGGTCTATGTAAAACAATGCATTAGCAAGACAAATTGTTCCCTCCTTTACACTTTAAAATTTATTTGATAGTCCCTTACAAAAATTTTAATGATAATTTTACAAAAAAATCTAATACAAAGTTATATAATTATCTAATTGCTTCATATAAATTCTGATTTTCTGAGCCTTCCAACTGGCTGGAAAATTATTTTTTGCCAGGATCTAAATTAATTTTTATAAAAAGCAAACAAATTTTTCAGTAAATCATAGTCTGTGACACCTTAAAGACACCTTAAAGCATGTTTTATTATTTTAATTGAAATATAACTAATACATCATTTGAGGCATGAGACTTGATGATGAGCATATAGGGATTTACTGCTCTGCATATGTGCTTAATTTATCACAAGGAAAAAAAAGAAATTTTTAACCTATTATTTTGTAATCTACTCTACTTTTTGGTTTCATATTATTATCTGTTCCTCTACAAAATCTACTTTTTATTTTATGTTTAACTCTAATCCACTATTTTAATAGGGTTTTGGGTCAAAATCTCTAGATGCTTAGCATTAATAACCTAATCATAGGACATTAATCAAAGAGACCTTGCAATATGGCCTGAGCATGCACAGTGCTAGGATCACATAGTACTACTATGCCCAGCCTGTCATTTTTAGAATTGTGCAGGGATTCCAGGATGAGTCACATGGACAAAGGCTCATGGTTTGTGGTTTTTAAGTTAAGAGGCAAAAAGCAAAGTGTGCTCTTTTCCTAGTGAGTACCTTTCAGTTAATTTGTTTTGGAGATGGGCCTTTCCATGTGAACAAGATTGGCAGTTCCTAGTGGGTACCTTTTAGTTTGTTTCTGAGATAGGATCTCCTCTGTGGCCAAGCCTGGCTGGAGCTCATTAGCCTCTTGTCTGTCTTGTGAGTGCTGGGTTTGCTGGTGTGCCCCACCATGCCTGGCACAAATGGTTTTCTTTGTCTGTCATCTCTTACCCAGACCTCTAACATCTAAGAGCCTGTAGATATCTTAATTATCTTCATACCTAGAGTCAGACATTGCAGCTATTACTTAATATTTGTAAAATAAATGTAATGGCAATATTTAAACTAAAATACATATTCTAAGTCATGATGTGTTAAGCACTGGAAAATAGTACTTATAAATAATTCTAGTTTATATTTTTCTCTGTTGTTCAATAAGACTAAAACAGTAAAAAAAGTTAGCTCTCCTTTACTTTTCATATTTATAATCTATAATTAAAGAATAAAAATAGTACTAAGTCCTCTGAGCTCTGCTAGAACAAGTATTTCAAATTACTATAGGTACTTTCACTTATAAAACTAAGTCACCTTGCAGCAGGAGAAATGGCTGAGTGGTTAAGAGTACTGGCTGCTATTTCAGAGGACCCAGGTTCAATTCCCAGCACCCATATGTGGCTCAGGAGTTACCTGTCTATAACTCCACTCCACTCCCAGGGTATTTGACATGTTCTTCTGGCCTGCATGGGCAACAGACATGCAGTGCACAGTCATACACATAGGCAAAACACTCGTCCACATAAAATAAAATTTTAAAACCTAAATCATCTAGTTTGGGAGAATAAAAGAACTGATCATGAAATACTCAGGTATTTTACCCAATATAAGACCAGAGGTAAATACTTTATCTTGCCACAGGTGGTGGTGGCACACACATGCCTTTAATCCCAGGACTTGAGGCAGAGACAAAGGATATCTGTAAGTTTGAGGCCAGCCTGGTATACAGAGAAACCCTGTGTTCAAAAAAACAAAACAAACAAACAAAACAAAAAAAAAAGAGAAAATTTATTTTCCCATAACTCATATGTATTACTTTCATAATAACCAATAAATAATATATTCTTAAAAACATATTTTCTATTATATCATTCTTTGCATTTGGGGACTATTGAGCTTTTCACCTCTCAGGAATCTTATTTAAAATTCTATCTTGAAGTACTAGGTGAAAATAGTTTACTGTCATTCTGATTCACAACCTCTGATTGAGATCAAAAGGTCTTACTCTTTGTAATCACCAAAACCCATCTGTTTTTCCAGGGCTGGCTTAAAAAAACAATTACAGTCAAAATCAGGATCCTATTTCAATTGTGTAGATGACCTAAGTGTTCAAAGAACAACTTAATTTAACTACCTGCTCTCTTGCCTTAAGTATGCTATAGGGCATCTGGTTCCTATGAATTTGATGGCCTTTAAAAAAACATCCTTCTGGATGGTGGTGGTGCAGGCCTTTAATCCCAGCACTCAGAAGGCAGAGGCAGATGGATCTCTGTGAGTTTGAGGCTAGCTTGGTCTACAGTGAGAGTTCCAGGACAGGCTCCAAAGCTAGAGAGAAACCCTGTCTCAAAAAACAAACAAACAAAATTGATGGGAGATGCCATTATGAAGTCTCTACTGGTTAATAATAAAGCACTGTTGGCCAAAGGAAAGGAAGATAGGGGGGACGGGACAGGGGATAGGAAGTAGTAAGGGGAGTCAAGATGGAGACTCTGAAGAAAGCAGTAGCCGCCGGCTCCCGGTCAGAGAAATACATAGACACAGAAATGGGTTAATAATTAAGGCAGAGCTAGCCGATAAGAAACAAACAACGGGCCAACAGATTGATCAAAACAGAGTCAGAGTGTGTTATTGGGGGGGGGGGGGGGGGGGGGAAAGAGGGGGGGGGGGGGGGGAAAAAAAAAACACCAACACAAAATCCTGTGACTTGTGTGATTTTTTTTTTTCCATTGTATAAGGCCATTTAACTACTGTGGTTTCAAGAATATACTAGGTGTATCATGTTACATGGATAGCAGACCCTGGAAAGCAGCAGTTGTTTGTTTATCTGGAAAGCTCCAGTTTCTCATTATTCTGTCTCTACCCACTTACCTTGATTATTAATGCAAAACTTGTTAATTATCATTAATGTTACAGTCAATTACTAGTAATAAAGACTATTTGCACTCCTCTAGTCACAAAGGAGAGGTTTGTCTTGCCTCTCCCAAAAATGTTAAAATAAATTATTACCTGACACAAGAATGAGGTATTCCATAGTTATACCCCAAAACATGAGATACTCTTTGAATAATGGGAATATCACCATTTCCTAGTTTTGGAGAAAAGTAATTTGATGAAAAGAGTGGAGTGTCAGTTTCTGTTTGCATATAAACACCAACAGCAGAGGCATTCAGGGTTCTTATTTTTGTCTGGCCCTGGGAGTCATCAGGTAGCATGTGTCCCAGCACTTTCAGGGAAGTGGACTTCTGTTCCTCTACAGAGAAGTCTGATAAATTGCATGTTTCATTGCTGGCTGTTCTGGCTTTGCTATCAGCAGGAGAATCAAAATGCAATTGTCTTCGGGGGCCAGATCTGAACTCTCGAGGCTTGCTGTATAGGTTGCTTGTCTGAAAAGGATGCTCTGGGCTACTGAGGGCTTCATCTTCCTCCTGCATAATCTTGATGATCTTGATAAGTTGGAAAAGACGTTTGCGGTCATTCATGTCATGGACTCCCAATTTGGAATAGTCCTTCATTGTAACCTTGGCTAATTCATCTATTTTCTGAAGACCAAGTGCAGTAAAATGAGGGTAATACTGTGCAAGTTCAGCTTCACAAAGACATTCATATAACCAAGATGCCATTTTTGTCACTAGATTTATATAAACTCTGGAAAAAAAAGAGAAAAAGAAGTTGTCTATACAATGTAAGCAGAATATATTCCTTTACAAATTAAAACATTGCTAGGCAGTAGTGGCACATGCCTTTAATCCCAGCATTCAGGAGGTAGAGGCAAGTGGATCTTTGTGAATTCAAGGCCAGCTTGTTCTACAAAGTTACACAGAGAAACCCTGCCTCAAAGAACCAAAATGAATAAATAAATAAATAAACAAAACATCGACAAATATGAAGGAAAAAAGTTTATCATCTCAAGTTTCCTAGGTATGTTTCTTCTGAAATGATTCATTAAATAGAGTTTATAAGCAAAGCTGTTTTATATATAGCATAAGAGCTAACAGTTGTAATTTGTTCATCTGTTTAATAATGTTTCCTAATTATATATTTAAGTAAATATATAGACACAGACATAACATAAACCACTTACTTATTGCTTGGGAGTTCCTTCTAACTCTGCATTGTCTGTTTAACACAGGCAATACACTGCTGAAATCCTGTTCTCAACCACTGACTGTAGCAGTACTAATTTTAGATGTTCAACTCAATGTCAAGGCATGTGGCACAACTGTTTCCTATGATTAATGAACAAAGGCTAAGAAGTCTTTCAGAATAGAAAGCAGAATAAAATAGCAACCACAAGGATAATAAACTAACACAGCTCATAGAAAATTGCATTTTTTATCTGCTCTGTATTGGTAAGTTACAATAAAAACAACCAATTCAGAATCAACTCACAGTATTTCAGATAATTCTAAAAGGTAGTCAGTCACAGATGTACAGATTAATACTACAGTCACAACTTAAACACTTATATGATAAAACACTTAAAACCAGAAACTAACAGGTGATGTGGTAATGATGTAAAATCTTTGTCTATTAGAAGTCAGAATTCTGAGTTGTTCTCCATTATTCCTGTTAATCAAGCTCAAGTTCCTAAGAATATTAAAAATAACTTTAAGCTGCATTTAAAAATATTTAAAAAGTATGTTAAATGTGCATGTGTGTGTATCTCTGTGTGTGCCTGCTTGCACATATAGACATGATTGCAGTGCTAGAAAAGGGTGTTAGATCCCCAGGAGATGAAATGCTCAAACTTCAAAATGAGTCCTCTACAAAAACAGTACATACCGTTAACCACTGCACTGTCTCCTCAGCCTGTTTTGTTTGTTTTGGGGAGGGTTTCTCTGTGTAGCCTGGGCCACCCTGGAACTAATGCTGTAGACCAGGCTGGCCTCCAACTCACAGAAATCCACTTGCCTCTGCCTCCTGTGTCCTGGGATTAAAGGTGTGCACCACCCAGCCGGAGTTTTGTTTTGTTTTTGTATAGCCCCTATAGTGTGGGCTGGTCTGGAGTTAACTCTATAGTCCAGGTTGGCCTCAAACGTGTGGTAATCCCCTTGCCTTGCTCTCCCAATCTCTAGGATTAAAGCAGGCACCACTATGCCTAGTTTTTGTGTGTGTGTGTGTTTTTAAACTTTCTAAAATTATTATGTGTTTATTGTGTATGAGTGTTCTGTCTATATATGTATTTCAGAGTACCACATGTGTGCCAGATGTCCACGGAGGCCAGAAGAGGGCAATGGATTTCTTGGGACTAAAGTTACAGACTGGAGTTATGAGCTGTCATGTGGGTGCTTAGCACTGAACTCAAGTCCTTAGCAAGAGTAGCCAGTGCTCGTAACTGTGGGGCCATCTCTCCAGTCTTTTTCAAAATGGTTTGATCCTTCAGAGTTTTCAAAACTCAATTAATTGTTGAAAAATTGCTTTCATTTTTGTCCTTTCTAGGGGAAACATTGTGTGTGTGTGTGTGTGCATGCAAGTATATTAAAGACAGGATAACAAGGACAACCAAAGAGCTCTGAATAAATAATTTGGAGAAAATATTTTTAGGCAAAACGAAAGACCAAAGGGTCCAAGTAACCCTTCCTAAACTGGTCCTGACATTTATATTAGTGATAGGCTTCCCCTCTGCAAAAGCCCACAAAAGTTTTACAGTCCTTCCATCAAGGGTGGAGTCTATTTCTTCCCCACATGGCATCTAGAATAGCTTTCTAATTTCTTTGGGGCAATAGAATGCCATGAAACAGACTGCCATGCCTAGGTCTAGGGAGCCATCATAGCTTTTACCTTTGTTAGAATAGCAATAGCCAGGTGCTCATACACTACTATTACTACTTTGATGGCCAAAAACAGAGAAGCCATCTTAGACTCCCAACTGGAGTGGTGCCACTAGATTAGTGGTTTTCAACTTTCCCAATGCTTCACCCCTTTAATACAGCTCCTCATGTTGTGGTGACCCCCAACTATAAAATTATTTTTGTTGCTAGATCATAACCTTAATTTTGCTACTGCTATGAATCGTAATGTATATATCTGTGTTTTCTGACAGTTTTCTGACAGTGTAAAAGGGTGGTTCACCTCTCCCAACCCCCAAGGGGTTGAGACCCACACACAGGTTAAGAGCCAAAGCACTAGACGATTACAGCCACAGGAATGACTCCAGGTGAGATCAAGTAAAGAACTATTAACTAAGCTTGGCCAAAATAACCAATTCACAGAGCTTTAAACAAATTTCATTTGTTTAAATAAATTTATTTATTTATTTAAATTTATATTTAAATACTTATATTTATTTAAACTATTATATTTAATAATTAATAAATATCAAATAATTTTAATTAAATAATTAATTTATCGAATAATTAAAATAATTTAATAAATAAATTATATTTAAATAAATAAATTTATTTAAACAAATAAAAGGGCAATTGTTTTGAGCCACCAAGTTTTGGGCTAGATTGTTATGTGACAGTGATTACATGGACTAGTTTGATTGCCCTAAAAAATTCTGAGGTGGGGCAGGGTCTCACTGTGTAGCACTGGCTGTCCTGCAAACCACTATTATAGATCAGGCTGTCCTTCAACTCACTGAGGCCTACCACTGTCTCCCCAAGTGTTGGGATCAAAGGTGTGAACCCCGTACCCAGTTATCTTTTTACTGCTTCCAGGGTGCCTTTTCCAGAATGTCACACAGTTAGAAGTGTGCAGCATGTCAGCATGTAGACTGGCTTTTTCAGTCTTGAGATTTCCTTCAAGTCTTTTTATGGCTTGTTAGCTCATTTCTTTTCACTGCTGAAACCCATTTCACATGTGAATGTGCTCTGGCTTATTTATTTGTTCACTTAATGAAGGACATCTTAGAGGCTTATACTTTGGGCAATTATGAATAAGGCTTCTATAAACATCTATGCAGTTTTCACATGGACATAATTTTCAGCTCCTTTATATAAATACCAAGGTGCATGACTACTGGAATGTACAATAAGACATGCTTAGTTTTATAAGAAACTGACAAACTACCTCCTTAAGTGACTGTACTATTTTCATTCCTATAAACAATAAATGACAATGCCAGTTGCTTATCATTTGTCATTATGTGTGTGCTATACCCATCCTTTCAAGACAGCTCAAGAACTTTACCCCAAAATGAGATTTTCATTTCTAAATTTTAAATAAATCTTAAAAAAAATGAAAATAGTACAGTCACTTAAGGAGGTAGTTTCAGCATCCCAAAGTTCCAGATTCAATAAAAGATACTGTGCCAGACAGAGCTCTGGCTCAAGAAAGAAAAAAAAAAAAAAAAAAAAAAAAAAAAGTAAAGTTGGAGAGCAACTGAGGGAGACACTGTTGACTTCATGTGCATGTGCCCATCCCTCCACCCCTCAAATATGTGAGTTGGTGTGGTGGTGTAGACCTGTAATCCAAGCACTTGGGAGGCTGAGACATGACTGCCTTGAGTTTGTTCAGTCCTAGCAACAAAGCTACGTAGAAAGCTTGAAGTCAGTTTTAACTATACAATGACACTTTGCCTCAAGACGCAGAAGGGGAAAAAAGGCAACAGAATCCCTAAATTCTTCAGATGGAATATGGAAATACCCATAAGGATTGGGGGTTGGAGCTCAGTTTATACCGTGCTTGACTAATATGCATAAAGCCCTAGGTTTGCTCCCAAACACTGCAAAACCCTAGGCATGGTAACATGTACCTATAATTCCAGCATTTGGAAGGTAGAGGCAGGCATATCAGAAGTTCAAGACATTCTTGGTTACAAAGCAAGTCTGAGACCTGCCTGAGTGGCAGGCAGACAAGCCCCGCATAACGGCTGGGACACATTCAGTGTTCCATATTTAATAAATGTTGGCAGTTACTACCATTGCTATTGTTATTTTTACATTTCTCCTATCTTTACCACCTAGCACATAACCAAGAACAGAACTTAATCTACCTTCGGTGTTTTGGTTTAAGCAAATCCTAAGCAGCTGCACTCTCTTCTTGGCTCATCTTACTTACGGGAACAGACTGTAAGTGCTATGCACAAGCTGTGCAAGAGCCTGTATTTTGCACACCATTTCCCTTGGTGCCATACCAAACATTTCTCAGTTCAACTCTGATAATCACAGCCTCCACTGCATTCCTAATAAGTAAATGAGACTAAAATATTAATCTTAGAAACCTTGGGAAGAGAAAATGTAATAATAATTTTTAAAAATAGCAGTAATTTGAACATGCAGATTAAGTAGCCATGGTCAAGCATCTAGCACAGCAGCAGCCATCCGACTTTTCTGGGCACTACACTCAGCCTACACTCCTTTGTTTTCAAGCACATTTCTCTGCAATCGCAGTCCATTTTACAGAGGTTTATCCCCTCCTTTAACTCCTGAAATAGGCATCAGAATCATTCCTGCAACTGCGAACAAAAACATTTGAACTCTACGAGCCACAAACAAACAAATAAAAAAACCACACCAAAATAAACTCCAGGAAAATTTTGCTCATATGAAAATTTTCTTTACTGACCTAGCTCTGTCAAAAGGACAAATGTAAAGGCTATGGAGGGCTATCAGCAGTGGAGTGCAAGCTTAGTGTGAGCAAGGCCCTGGGCTCTGGAGGTAACTGTTCAGAGTTCAGAGTGATTGTTGTTCAGGCAATGACGTTCAGAGGCCTGGAGTTCAGATTCCAGCTCCATATAACAAACTGGGCAACCTGCAAATGCCTATAACTCTAGTTCGGAGGCATCTGATGTCTTCTGGCCTCTGCTCACCACAGGTATATGCATATATACAAATATGCACACATATTACAATATGTGCACACAGAAGTCAACTATTACATAGCAGTAAGTATTGGTAGTTACTGTCTTTCACAATGTGATTTGTACACATCACTCACACAGATGCACACATACATATAAAAATAAATTTTTATAGCTGGGCAGTGGTGGTACATACCTTTAATCCCAGCATTCAGGAGGCAGAGACAGGCAGATTTTTGTGAGTTCAAGGCTAGTCTGGTCTACAGAGCAAGTTCTAAGACAACCAAGGCTATACAAAGAAACCCTGTCTTAAACAAACATGTAAATAAATAATTTATTTTCATAAGCAAATTCACTACCCAGAAATTCTAACTTGAGAAACATCCTACAGCTACAGTACAAATATAAAATGACAGAAGCACAAAGTCATTATATCACTATAGCAAAGGAAGAGAGTGGTTAAATAAATTACACT